GAGAGAGAGAGAGAGAGAGAGAGAGAGAGAGAGAGAGAGAGAGAGAGAGAGACTGTTCTTATTTAATAGGAAACGTGGAGAATCAGAGATGTTAAGACATTCTTCAAAGGTCGGCCAGACACAAAAGGACAGAAGTGGAGTCGAGTTCACATATAAGTGATTGTGAAGCTGTGTGATTTCCTGGGTGGATCTTAACCACTTCTGCTGTTATATCTTGTGCTTGGCCCTTCATAGGTCAGCTCAGGAAAATGACCTCGATTCAAGATTGCCTAAAATCTGCTGGCCAATGGCTGTGTTTTATGAAAGTCATCTATAAAAAGGCATATTCTGAGGGGATACTTCGGCGTTTTTGCACTTCAGTATCGCATGCTATCCTAGAGAAAATTGAGCAACTTCTTTTCAAAGTTAAACCCATAGAAAAGACCATTTCCCTCCCCCACCTCAGTGACCATCTGGGTACTGTGTGTGTGAAGAACTGGTACAGATACTGAGTGTCCCAGAAAGAGGGAACCAGGGATCAAGACTGGCCCTTTTCCTAGTGACTCTCCACAGGTTTCACCCTCCAGGGACCCCTGAAACTGCACTTAGAACCCAATGTGATGTCACCAGGGTGACTCTGTACAATAAACCAAAGCTAGTTCTCCTTGGAACATTCCTGAACGTCAAAGCCTTGTAGAACCTTAGAAGTCTCATTTGCCCACAAGGAAACTATCTGGCCAGGATTTTCTTGGGGTCACACAAGGATTGACTGAGCAGGGCCGATGCTCCAAGTTAAACAGGTTGGAAGCTAGAGGCATCCTTCATGATCAGAAAAAAAAAAGCAAGTTTCAGCTGAAATGAGCCCCTGGCAGCTCTTCCCGTGTCTTATGGTTTACCCAGGAGACATGTCCTGAGAAGGGAGAGAAACTGGGTTCTCTGGAAGTCTTGGGGGACTCGGGCTGGGTGTGGGAGGCAGAAAGGCTCCCAGGGAATGAAGGGTTGGGGTGGCCCTTGGGGCCACTAGACGACCACAGAGAGAGGAGCAGAGGGACCACTCGGTTTCTGGTTGACTGGCTGCTGGCCCTGCTCAAAAATCCCCATGTCCCTGCCTTACAAACAGGAAAAGGCACAAAGACAGCTTCAGCTTTGCGGGTAACATTCCTCCTCTCCTGGCAATGGTAAGCGTTCTTTTCTTCTTTCCTTCCTTCCTTTCCTTCCTTCCTTCCTTCCTTCCTTCCTTCCTTCCTTCCTTCCTTCCTTCCATTCTTCCTTCCGTTCTCGTCCTTCTTTCCTTCTTTCCTTCCTTCCTTCCTTCCTTCCTTCCTTCCTTCCTTCCTTCCTTCCTTCCTT